GGAGGGTGACAGTCAGGGCCCTGTCACCAGAGAAGGAGGCCAAGGCCTAGTGAGCAGGGAAGGCTTTCCTGAGGAGCTGCCACCTTGGCTTAGACACGACAGGGCACAGCAGCAGAACCTGCACGCGACGAGCTTCCTCTCACTGTGCCCCACCCCACCGGGCACCGCCCTGCACCTCCTACAGTCTCCTGCTCCTCTGCCCCTCATGGAGTGCTGGGCACAACTCACCCTTCCCCATGGAATCCCCGACCTGCCTCCGGCACAGCCCACCACACAGGGCCTGGAACACAGAGCATGGGCAAGGCAAGAGCCGCTTCTCAGGAGCCAATCACGCCTCCTCTCCTGCCCACATTCCCTCCAGAGGCAGCTGGGGGAACAACCTGAACACGCCTCCCTAGCCCTGCCCAGAAAAACAACCACAGCTTCTGGACCCCTCCAGAAGAGCTGCAGATGGAGAATGCGCACGAGGTGCTGCACGCCCACCCCACCCGAACCCCACACCTCCACCCCCACACCAGCAGATTTTCATGTTTCCTTTTGGCACCAGCAATCTTGATCGCCACAGAATAGGGACAGGAGAGGTCAGAAGATTCCAGTTTCCATCAGCACCCACGTCTGGGCTGTTTCTAAAACGAACGCAACCTTCACATGGACTGTAGTTCACACTGGCTCCAGTTCAGAGGCAATTCTCCGACGCCATCGGATGCCTGCAGACCTTGCTGATAGTCAAAGAAATGCAAATCCAGACATGCCTATTTAAGCCTCCTGAAAAAACAACTATTTCCAGAAAAGACCACCATCCACGACAGGGAAGGCTGCAGGGAAACTGGAGCCCTCACCTAGGGCTCTAAGAGCAACCGGCACAGAGACCGACATCGCTGGGGACCTTATAACCCAAACCTAGGGGTCTGTCCAAAGTCAACAGAAGCGAGGGCTAGAGGATGGGCTACCTGCCACATAGATATGACAAGTGAACGCAAACACACTGAACATTCACAAACGACAAAAAGCAGATTCATCAACTGTTAAAATTCATAATTACAGAAGAAAAAAAGTGCTCATTTTTTTTTGAGAGAGAATCTCGCTCTGTCACCCAGGCTGGAGTGCAATGGCATGATCTTGGCTCACTGCAACCTCCACCTCCTGGGTTCAAGCAATTCTCCTGCCTCAGCCTCCCGAGTAGCTGGGATTACAGGTGTCCACCATCACGCCCGGCTAATTTTTGTATTTTTTGTAGAGATGGGGTTTTACCATGTTGGTCAGGCTGGTCTTGAACTCCTGACCGGGTGATCCACCCGCCTCAGCCTCCCAGAGTGCTGGGATTGCAGGCGTGAGCCACCATGCCTGGACCAAATGTTCAACTTTTTAACTGAAAACTACAGAATGGAAAATTAATACTTCTACTGATTACAGCTATGCAAACAACACAGTTGCCCATGTGGGAAACACAACTAAAAACACAAAGGTGGCGCTGCAGAGGCAAACAAGAGCATGCATTCCCTCTCTCGGGAACACGGCTTCAGGAGGGCGGACCCAGCCCAGCAGAGGCCCCACTCACCTCGCCGGCCTGGGCCAGGCTGTCCTCTTTCTCACGCAGCCTCTTGTTGGTAGCGTCCAGGCTCTGCTGACACTGCCTGCTGCGCTCCAGCTGCTCCTGCATCTTCTCCTCCGCCCCGGCCTCACGCTCCTGAAGCTGCCAGATGCGCGTCAGGAGCTCCTGGTTGCGGTCAACCTCGCGCTGTCAAGAGAGCAAGAGTAAGATGCCACATGCCGCCCATGGGAGGGTCAGCGGGGAGCGCTCACCGCCCCCCCTCACAAAAGGCCACCGAGGCACAGAACAGAGCCAAGCAGGACCCGCCAGCCAAGTCAGCGGCAGAGCCAGGACGGGACCTGGGACCCAGCTCAGGCATTGGCGCCCCCGCTGAGACACTATGACGTGAGCACTGTGAGAGGTCAGGGCTCCCAGGAAGGGCACTTGGCACAGATCACACACACACTCGTCACACCATCTGCTCAGCAGTTGCCTCTGCAGGGAAAGGGAGCATGGGAAATGTGAAATTCAGAATGGATCTTGTAGAGAAGCTGAGCTCTGCAGCACCAGCAGGTCCTGACTAAGCACACTGTGGCTGGCACTAAAATGAGCTGGCACTCCCCCAACGAGCAGATGACAGGGGCAGAGACAGGTGGCGTGGACAGGAGGCTGCAGACAGAAGCAGTTTACACTGGGCTCAACTCTGCCACATATGCACGGCATCTCACGCAAACCTCCAGAGCCACCCCGCAGGACTGGCCTTGGGGAGGCCGCGTGGCTCTTGCTGGTTAGGATGGAACAGAACCAAGAACCATGCTCAGATCTCCTGATTCTAATGACCCGCAGGCCCTGCTGAGTTCACTGCCAGGCACGGGAGTCCCGGGAGGTGAAGACGGTGAGTCCTGGTGGAGCCCGGCACTCCAGGCCCTCTCGCCCTGCCTTCCTCAGGAAGCGCCAAGCACTCATGAAGCCCAGGGCAGAGTACGTGCTTGTGCTACCCTTGTCCAGGGGACTCCAGCCCAAAACCTAGGAGAAGTGTGACAGAGGGTGGCCACCTTCTGATGGCTGACCCGCACCTCGGAGGGACTCCAGCCCTTGTGAGCTGCAAGAGCTGTCTCACCACAACCAAGAGACCCTTCTGTGATGCAGAACAAGAAGACAGCTGGGGTTGTCGCAGGGCTCCGCTCAGCACTGTCACAAGCCAGATGTGGCACTGGGCCTGGTGCTGCCAGGCCTGGTGCTGCCAATCCTAGTGCAGACAGGGCAGCCAGCAGGTCCCTGTACTTCAGACACTTAGGTTTCACCCCCTAATAGGTATTTCCAGGTGGAACTCCAAGAAACAATTGGAAAACTACTGGTTCCGACTGTTCTTGGGGTCTCATGGAGCTGTGTCTATAGGCAAGGAAGGAAAGGCCTGTTGGAAGGTGGCTGGAGCTCAGCAGGGAGCCCCAGGTGTAAGCTCAGTCACCTGCATCCTTGGATTTTCCCAGGAAAGGGCTCCAGAGATCCTACAGTGACCCCTCCCTCAATCAAACATTTGTGAGCATCCATAAGGTGCCATAAGCTGTGCCGCATGATGGAGATCCTGGACAGAGTCAGGTGGGCCCTGTCCTAGGGGACTCTTGGCCCAGAGAAACTCAAACGGCTGCACACTCCATCCTCCTGCCCTAGAGCCAGAGCCGTGCCATGAGCCCGCTGCCTCCAGACTAATGGTGCCACTAAACTGGTGCCACCTCTCCACCCCTAACCAGGGAACTTCAATAGTCAGGGAGATTCCTGTGTCCTCTCCCTCCCCATCCCACCAATTCAACCAGGACTGTCCCACCTAGGACCCACCCAGGCCATGAGCAAAAGCCCCAACCTCTCAGGGAAAACAGCTCTCAAAGCAGCATGGGAGCCACCCCAGAGGCAGCGGCACCCACCCCGGCAGTGTCTTGGGCTCACTAAGCCCACACAACACACCACAGCCAGGATACGCAGGCCAGGGACAAGGAATCCAAAAAGCATCACACCCCAGAAGACGTGAGCTACTTATTTTTCTAGGGCCTAGGAGTGTGCGTGAATAAACTGCATGAGGTCGGCGGGGGGAGGGGCTAGACACATCCACCAGCAAGAAAGGGCACAGAGGCCAGGGAGACTCTCCATCCAATGCTATGCCTGAGCTTTGGTAGCAGCCACAGCTGATCAGCACTTACTGAAACCCTGGCAAAGTGCTGTTAATCAAAGTTGAGGAGATCCGCACATTCAGTGGAAACCTAATTCCCACCCCAAGGACAAGGAGCTTTCCCTACTGCCCCGGGCAAGCCAGGAGCAACACCCAGCTGCCACTGAGGCCGGCACTCTTCGCTACAGCCCTCCAACCCAAAGGCCTAGCATGGACCCAAGACCCCATTCCACCCCGTGAGCTCCTAAGCCTGTCACTCCTAAACCATTCGGCATTTCTGCCAGACCTGCCTTCCAGTTCTTCTAGAGGGAAGAAGAAACCAGGAGGTTTGTGTGCCAGTGCCGCAGCCTCACTGAACAGACACAGCAAGGGGCCACCCTTCGCAATTGCCCCCATTTCATGCCACCCTTCTCTAGGACATCAAGCATAACTTATACCTGGGCCCCAGCATGAGTGGCCTCAGAAGGAATGTCCTGGCAACCGTGGCACAGGGCATGTCAGGCTTCCAGCCGGCTGGGTTCTGGATTTCTCATAGCCTGACAGGTACGGTGCACAACCCCCTTGCTCCCAAGGACTGGGATCTGATTTCTTACAGCCTGGTAGGTACTCTGCATAGCCCCCTTTCTCCCAGGGGCTGGGATCTGATTTCTTACAGCCTGCTAGTTACCGTGCAGTCCCCTTGCTTCCTGGGGCTGGCTGGGCCAACCCTCAACGCACCTGAACCCACCTCGTAGTTCCTGGCACTGGTGCTGGCCACTCTCTCCAGCTCCACTCGAGCCCTCTTGTGACTCAGCTCCATCTGCATCTTCTCCCACTCTATCTGGATGAGGTGGGACTTGGAACGGATCTGCTCTGCTCTTTCCTCCAATTGCGCAGATCACACCCAAATAACGAAAGAATCCTCAGTGACTGTATCAAACAAGGTGAGTGACTCCATGCAACAGACACACTCCCTGAGCACCCGTTCCCGCAGGGCCCAGGCTCAGTCTTGATGTTGTCCAGCCACTGGGCCCCTGGCTGGGGAATGGGAGAGGGACAGGTGACAGGAAGGTGCAAAAGCCTGGGAGGAGGAAGACATCTCTTGAGATGACATAAAGCATATTAGTGAACTCAATGGCCTCGAATGCCACCTATTTATTTACCAGCCAATGGCTCTGTGGGTCACAAGTTCAGACATAGGTGGCTGCATTCTCTAATTTATTTACCAGCCAACAGCTCTGTGGGTCACAAGTTCAGACATAGGTGGCTGCATTCTCTGATCCCAGGCTAAAAATCAAGGCAGTGAGCCAGGACGTGTTCTCATGTGGAGCTCAGGATCCTCTCACAAGCTCACAGGGATGGAGAACGAGGTCTCCTTCCCTGCCAGCTGCCAGCCCAATACAGCTGTCAACTCCTAGAAGATACCCACATCCCTTGTCATGTGGCCCTCTCTGTCTCCAAAGTCAACCACAACCAATCTCCCTCGTTAAACCCTCTCCTGCCATGTCTCTGACTGCTCTGCCTCAGACACCTGGACTCAGGCTTCAAGGGCTCACATGAGTAGATCAAGCCCACCCAGGAAATCTCTACCTTAAGGTCAATAGATCTGAGATCTTAATTATATCTGCAAAATCCCACAGCAACGATACCTAGTCAGTATTTGACTGAACACTCGAGAGACAGTAGAGAAGGTGAGTGTACACCAGGAGCCTGGAATCTGGGGGCCTCTCAGAAGTGGACCCACCACACAGCGCTAGTGATTACAGGTGAGCTGAGTCTCAAAGGGCCCCAGAGACTTGCCAAACAGTTCCAGAGCCAGCCTTTGGGTACGACCTGCTTAGCTGGAGGAAAAGGCAGAGTCACCGACTCTTCATGTGGCCCAGAGCATTGCAGTGCAGCAGCACAGCATCTCCCGGCACTTAAATGCAGAGTCTCAGGCTACACCCCAGACCAACTCAATCACAATCTTCTCTTTAGGTCGGGCGTGCTGGCTCATGCTTATAATCCCAGCACTTTGGGAGGTCAAGGCTAGTGGATCACTTGAGGCCAGGAGTTCAAGATCAGCATGGCCAACATGGGGAAACCCCATCTCTACTAAAAATACAAAAATTAGCTGGGTATGGTGGCACACACCTGCAGTCCCAGGTACCCGGGAGGCTGCAGCAGGAGAATCGCTTGAACCCGGGAGGTGGAGGCTGCAGTGAGCCAAGATCACACCACGGTACTCCAGCCTGGGTGAGAGGGTAAGACTTCATCTCAAAAAAAAAAAAAAAAAAAAAAAAAAAAAAAAAATCTAGGCTGGGCACGGTGGCTCACTCCTGTAATCCCAGCATTCTGGGGGGACAAGGTGGGTATATCACTTGAGGTCAGGAGTTTGAGACCAGCTTGGCCAACATGGTGAAACCCTGTCTGTACTCAAAACTACAAAAATTAGCCAGGCATGGTGGTGCACACCTGTAATCTCAGCTACTCAGGAGGCTGAGGTGGGAGAATCACCTGAACCCAGGAGACAGAGGCTGCAGTAAGCCGAGATTGCACCACTCCACTCTAGCCTGGATGACAGCGTGAGACCCTGTCTCCAAAATAAAAAAAAGAATCTTCTTTTTAAACACATTCTCAGGGCATTCACAAGCACATGAAAGTTTGAGAAGCACCAGAGTAGAGTGGTCGTTCCCAAAGGGGCCAGTTTTGCCCCTGTAACATCTGGCACTGTGTGGAGGCACTTCTGATTGTCACAGGGGGTGGTCGTATGTGCATGCTGCTGGCTGGCATCAGCGGGTAGAGGCCAGGGATGTTGCTAAACAGCCCACAATGCACAAGAAAGTCCTGAGGAAAAAGAGTCACCCAGCCCAAATGTCAAGCATGCCAAGGCCAGGAAAGCCCAGGACAGGGAAGGGAAGTTTCTCTGTCCTCCCACCTGTGTTCTCTGGTGGCCCAGGCCCACACATTCTTTATACCTATGTTACCATGTTTCAATTCCCAACTGCTGCTGTTTGGGGGTTCCCAAGACTGTCCTTCAAACTCAGCAGCCTTCCTGGTCTCATTTCTGAGCCTCTCCAGAAGGGCGGGCACCCTGCCTGCAGGGGGCACCACCAGCAGAAACCAGGAGTCCCAGACACACCTGATCCGTGTGCCACCTCTGCCTGGAGCTGACTACAACTGAGACAGGAACTGAAAGCTCGCCCTTACATTTAAATAAACACAGATATGTGAAAAAGCAGACAGCACACATTCCCCCAGCCTGCTGTGTTCTCCAGGCCCTCCCTGCCACTCCAGGGGCTCAGAAGGAGAGAAGGAACCATGACGGAAGTCCAGGAATGGGATGTGACAGGGGCCAGGGACCAAGGCTGGGCTTATGGTCATCGCTCTGCTAACCACCTCGCTCTGACTACCGCACTCCACCACTGATCCCCTCGCCGAGGAGGTCCTTATCAATGTGAGCTCTGGAGGCTTCCCAGGTCCAAGTGAGATTCTAGAATCCCACAGCTTTGACAGGTAGGACAAGAGGTCCCAGACATCTGCATCAATGAAATTACAGCATTTCAGACCAGGCTTTCCAATCTTTTTTTTTTTTTTTTTTTTAAGAGGGAGTCTTGCTCTCTATTTCCCAGGCTGGAGTGCAGTGGCATGATCTCAGCTTACTGTAACCTCTGCCTCCCAGCTTCAAGCAATTCCCCTGCCTCAGCCTCCAGAGTAGCTGGGATTACAGACATCCACACCCACCTAATTTTTGTATTTTTAGTAGAGATGGGGTTTCAACATGTTGGCCAGGCTGGTCTCGAACTCCTGACCTCAAGAAATCCACCCACCTCAGCCTCCCAAAGTACTGGTATTACAAGCGTGAGCAACTACACCCAGCTCAGAGTTAGCAACTTAATTTTGCCAGTGATAAAAAATAACTACCATCTATTACCATAATTTAATAAAAGAACGTTTTAACAATAAAATATCTATATATATATATATAAAAGACCTTATCTCAGAATAAAAAACAGTCCTCATCAAGAAAAGGGCAGTGAGCAAGCTAACATTCTAAAAAACACATGTTAATTCAATTATGCAACAAAATCAATGCACAGACACAAACCACAGTTTCACCAAATGCAGCAGGGCCTCAACTGGGCTCCGAAAGCAGCAGGAATCCAGACCCTCCTCGAACAGGGACAGGACTACAGAATGCTTCTGGAGCCTGCAGCAGGGACTACAAAAGAAGGCCCAGGCAGAGAAGCCTATAGAAGCCCGTGCAGCCACAGGGGCCAGGCAAGGCTGGAGACACCATTCCCCACCACTTCCCAACTGGGACTGGGCTCATCACTCTTTGGAACCTGAAGTCCTTCAGGATACCTGAGTCCTCTGCAGCTATGTCTACAGTGAGCAATCCCAAGAACTTGTAATGAAGTAAAATACAATTATTTTATAGAAGAAAACTATAAAAATCACCCCAAAATCTGCAAATGGCCCTCCACAGTCTGAGACCACAAAACACCCAGTCCTTCTGCTCACTGCCGTGGCTTTCTCTCTGAGCTAATCGGGCACTGTGTTTTCAACACAGCTTTCCCACACAGTCCTGGTGCTCACACTCCCAGGCAGTTTGGATTCTGTCCTCAATCAGACGAATGAACTGGCTTTCCGATCCTGTCACCAGAGTCTGTGGGTGCACTTGTGTGAATACAATGCTGAACGCCAGGCCCACTCAGCGTGCTAACAAGGCAGGCCTTTAAGCCATGATGGCTCAGGGCCCCAAACGGCCTCCAGCTACTGCCCCAAAATAAGGAGTACCCACAGTGAGACCTGGAAGACGAGTAACCGGTCTCTAGGCTGAGCTAATACTGACCCACCTCAACTACAAAAGACTTCAGCAGGTCCTGCCTGGGCCTAGGGGTCTCCCCAGAGAAGACTCCCACCCAGGCACATGCCACTCACCTGCATGCTCTGCTGGTACTGCATCTGCAGAGAACCTGGGGCCGAGGTGGGAATATCCAGTCCAGATCCTCCCCCCACACACTGAGAGATGAAGTTGTTCAAAGATCTCAGGGTGGATAAAACCGTGGTGTTTTCCCCTAGGTCTTCCATGGTTGCTTTCCCTCTGGAGGCGGACAAAGACTGATCAGATACAGCCTTGCCACGTGCCATCAGCTGTGCAGTCAGGGGCCCTCTGGGTAGCCCCACTCCCCTAACGCATGTTGGAGCCCATAATACACCAGTGTCTGTAATCACATTCTTCAGAGGCAACTGGGAGCCGCGCTGCCAACTTACCAGACAAAAAATGGAAGCAAGAAAGCATGCCACCAGACCCCTGCCACCAAGCCACCGACTAAATGTCAACTGCACAGACGGACAGCTGGTGCCCAGGAGGCGGTGCTCAGCACTCAGGTGGCACGTTCCCCTCAAAGCATTGTAAGAAGATTCTCCAAAGAGACAGAGCCAACAGGACACAGAGACAGACACACGAGAGGGGCTTTATTAGGGAAACTGACTGACACAATTAGGGAGACTGTCCCACAACAGGCCGTCTGCAAACCAGAACCCTAGGAGCCTGGCAGTGTGGCACAGTCCAAGTCTGAAGAGCCAGTGGAGCTGATGTAATTCTCAGTCCGAGGGACTGCTGGGACAAGTCCTGGAGACCAAAGGCCAGCAAGCCTGGAGTGCTGCTGTCAAGGAGAGGAGAGGAAAACTGCATCCCAGCTCCAGCAGGCAGGTGGACACATTTGCTTTTTCTCTGTCCTCTCCAGGACCGAAGGCTCTTGAATGATGCCCCCAACACTGAGGGTGGATCTTCCCCACCTGATCCACTCAGACTCCTAAGCTCATCTCCTCTGGAAACACCCTCACGGGCACACCCAAAAACAAAACCAATGCTTTCCCAAGTTTCTAGAGTTCTTGAATCCAGTCAGTTGACACCTGAAATTAACTACCAGGAGCACTCACTATGTTGGTCAGGGTGGTCTCGAACTCCTGACCTCGTGATTCACCCACCTCGGCCTCCCAAAGTGCTGGGATTACAGGTGTGAACCACTGCATCTGGCCCCCTTTCTGAATTTTGAGGATCTCTATGGGTCTTCTTGTTTCCAGAGAACACCCCCACAACCACGGGACGACAATCTCAGGTGGCCTACAGATGTCACCCCCAAAACATATCTGCAGACATCCTGAGATTTCCACGGACTGTCAGTGAAAGAGCTCTCTCTGCCTCTGCCTAGACTGACTGGTGGGGTTTTATTTTCCTTGGGGGAAGGGATGGAGTCATCCACTTCTGCAAGAATTCCATTGGAATCAAGGGCCCTGTCCTACAGAAAGTCATGTCCACCCTGCATTGTAAGTGCCACAGCCTGGGGTTCAGAACCTAAGTCGAAAGTATGGGAGATAGGGCTGGGTTCATGGTCCGACCTGGGTACTGGGCAGGCAGCGGCTTTTCAGTGGAGGGAGAAGCCTGTAGTGGGGGCTGCGCTGCCTGCCCAGACCCTGACCCTAGACCCAGCATCCTGTGCTGATGGCAGAGTCCCCACCAGCCTGTGACCTCCCACTGCACAGAACCCCCACCAGCCTATATCCTCCCACTACACAGAGCCCCCACCAGCCTGTGTCCTCCCACTGCAGAGCCCCCACCAGCCCGTGTCCTCCCACTGCACAGAGCCCCCACCAGCCCGTGTCCTCCCACTGCACAGAGCCCCCACCAGCCCGTGTCCTCCNCTTTTTCAGCATATTTTACATGAAGAGTAGACAAAACTCAGAATTGGGCCTTTTATCATTTCACTAGTGGTCCCTAACTCTATCAAGAAAAAAAGAGAGTCATGTTTACCTTATGTGAGACCTAATCTAAAATTTGCCAAATTCAGGGTTGAAATCTGAATAAGTGTATAAAAAGAGTTACTACTCTTCTCCTTCATATTTATACCCCATTTCTTGAAATAGAAACCTTAAATACATTTCTAGGTTAAGGAGTTAAAGGTGCCAAACTCCCATTGTAAAAGAGGCTGAATATACAGGCAGAGTGACCAGTTTTTAACTTTGCCCTCAAGGGATACAGGTTCAGACACATCAACCAAGCTCGAGGCAACAATTCAGAACTCGAGATACCAGCCTTTGTAACCAGAAGGCAACCGTTTTTCTGAAACTTCAGAAATATTCAAGTTGGGAAGCGTAAAATTTGTCTTTAAAGGGAAACACTCAAAAACTTTCTTATCATATTAAGACAGAATATAGGCAGAGTAACATCGTAGTGCTGATAGTATGCCTTTTTAAACCAAATTTATTTATCTTCCTTGCTTACTGACTCCTGCCCCAAAGAAGGAGATTACATAGAAATAGTCTTTACAATAATCTACGTTATGACTTTGCTTTGCTATTTTTTGGTCTGAGAAAGATACTAGGGTTTGTGTTTACAAAAGTAAATGAAAGGATCAAATAACATGATTAATACATTTTATTACAAAGGTTTTAGAAGATGAGGGGCAGAGCTAACAAGTTACCTTAATCATTAAAAATCACAAAGTTGGAGAACTTTTTTTAAAAGAGCGAATATCAAAATAGCTCTTAGAAAGACGACAGCTTAATAGTCTCTTAAGTTGTTGAAGAAAATAAAAGAAGGCTTAAATCTGGAGGATAAAAGTTATATTCAAAAACATGCTAAAGAATACAGTAAAACAAAAAAGAATGAGGAAAAAATTAATTGTGCCTTAGATGTTAAATCCTATCATGAACACCATTTCTAAAGGACCATGGCCCACTTCAGTACTCAAACAAAAAAAAAAAACTCATTGCTAAAATAGTTTCAACATTCCTTTGGAGTTTACTGTTAAAGAATTTATCCTGCATAGGGTAGATATGAAACACATCCGGAAGAGACTCAGAATATCCGCAAACATAAAACTGCTTCTCTAAATTGCACTTACTGGCCTTGAATCCAGTAGAATAGGGTTTAGCTATGACATGAAGTGTGTCATCCTGGGGCGGGGGAACGATTCGAAGAAAAAGGGCACTTTGCTATAGTTAATTCATGTGGCTACAAGTATAATAGTCTATCAGCTTCTCCTCAATGCCAAAATCTACTAACAATTTTAAAAAGTAAATACAACTTTCTATTTCCAAGAATTCATGTGATAAAGGGTAATCACCGCAGAGTTTACATATGCTCAGTTTTCTTAAAGCCATAGATTTTATTCCAGAAAAGAGAAAGTACATGGCATTAATAAACCACACATGCCATGAATTTTAGAACACTAAATATTTTTCTCTAGCTCATCAACCAGTTATATCCATGGGCTGGAAATTATACCTATGAAAAAACTGATAACATTTTGCAATATGTCAAAGACAGACCAACATTTTTGCCTGAGTGTCCCACTAATCTTTATCTAGAGCTATTATTCTTGGACTTTCTACAAGTTTCCTTTCAAATAATTTATGAATTGTAACAACTGGAAAGAATACTGTGAGGACCTGAACACTTCAATCAAACACTGAAGGCAACAACTTTCTTCTTTAAGCCATCTCTCCTGCCTGAATTTTTATATACTGAAATAACCCCACTCCTTCATTTCTGCAGGAGTAACCAGAAGAAGGTGGCATTTCTTGGCCATCATAAGTCCCAGGTCAAAACTTCTCCATTCTTCAATGTTCTAACAAAGGCTTCTGGCCCTGCAGCTCATTCCTGTGTGATTCAATCTTGTTCTCAATGAGAGCGATCTCTAGCACAGGTAAGAGTAGCTGAAAGGCATCCTGGATGTAGGAGGCACTGTTTGATGCCTGCCAGGATTGAAAAAACAAGAAAAAGAAAATATTAGTTATTTAAAAGGGAAGATATACTGTAAGACAAGAAGGGAACAGATTGATTTTTGTAATCTAACTAAATTCATAGCCTGGCAAATAAGAACAGTGACTTGGCCATTTTGGTAAACTCTATTATAAGGGAAAGAATCTAGCTCTTAAGATGATATGAGCACCATATCACTGTAATGGCAATCTACCGCTTCTTCCACTCTACTTTATCCTGCAGCCTGTATGCTTTGTAATTAAGAAGGAAGAAATACACATCACATATACACTATTTTGATCATATTGCATCAATATGGCTAGACTACCAATATGGTGAAAAAAACTAAAAAGCCAAAAACAAAAGGCTTCAGAAGAGTTAATTAGTACATAATTCCTTTGGAGTCAGAGACTTAAAAACAATTACTGCTAACCTCTAGAAATACAGCAGTGATTAATGGGTTAAGGACGTCTGCCATTTCATTGACCTGGAATAAAGAATACAATTTGAAGTGAGTAAAGCAGGTTAAATAATAGTAAGTGGAGTACGATCACACTTTAAAACACACACACACACCTATACATAAATATTAAATATAAGCACAGAAGTCTGGACTGAGAGCAAAATGTCATCTTTAGAAAGTGAAATTGTAAGTATTTTAAACTTCCTTCTTAGTATCTTTCTCTGCCATCCATATTGAGAGTGTGTTGCTTTATTCCTTTTTTATTGATTTTAAAAAGTATCTTCATTTGACCACAAAACTTTAGAACCATTTTAAAACAAAATATGTAGACATGGAACGTGTGCTCAAAAAACTCAACGGTCTTTAACACAGGTTGTTTAGAAACGTCTTATTTCATAGAAATAAATACTGTAAATTTAATACTTGTATGTGTCAGTATCTTATAGTTGATAAGCTGGCTTAAAGTATCTTTATGGAACACACAGAAAGATTTGGCTTCATAAGATTAACTTCAGGAAACCCAGCTCCTCTGTTTTTTTTGAGACAGAGTTTCTCTCTTGTTGCCCAGGCTGGAGTGCAATGGTGCGATCTCGGCTCACCACAACCTCTGCCTCCCGGGTTCAAGTGATTCTCCTGCCTCAGCCTCTCAAGTAGCAGGGATTACAGGCATGAGCCACCAAGCCCAACTAATTTTGTATTTTTAGTAAAGACGGGGTTTCTCCATGTTGGTCAGGCTGGTCTTGAACTCCCAACCTCAGGTGATCCACCTGCCTTGGCCTCCCAAATGGCTGGGATTACAGGTGTGAGGCACCATGCCCAGCCACAGCTCCTCTTTTGAAGAAAATACTACAGGGAAAAGTGAAGCTGTACTAAAAGATTATCCTTAACAGGAATAATCTAAACTCAAATTTTAAAAAATTAACTTAGGCCATGGTCTTAATTAAAACAAATGTAATGCTCATGACTAGGACAAATAAATAAATAAATAAATAAAATTTAAAAGCCCACAGTAATTTTGCTGCTACACTGACACTGATATACTCACTATAAAGTGATTTTCATTTGCTTGTTTAAAATGCCCTTGATTTTATCCTAACTCATTATTACTGGTTTCTCAATCATCTCCCATAGTTTACACATCTTCATAAATTTTTTTACAATTCCAACTTTTAAAATCCCAAAAAGCCTTTAGCTTTAACTACATCTCTCCCACTGGCTGGCAACTGCATACTGTGGGCACTGCCATAGTCTAAGTACAGAGTTGTTCTTTAAAACCAGAGTCAAAATCTGAAGTTTTAATTTCATCAAGGTCTATATTTCCATTATAAGTCTCAGAAGACAGCATAAAAAATACTGAAAACTTCATAAACAGAAGAGAACAAAAATTAGAATTAGAGATAGACAAGCTGATCCTAAAATTCATATAGAAATGCACAAGGCCTCAAGCAGTCAAAACATCGTGAAAATAAGAACAAAGTTGGAGGACTCACACTTCTTGATTCCCAACCTACTACAAAACTACAATAATCAATATGGTCATACATTAGGATAAACATACAGATTAATGGACTAAAAGATAAACAAATTAATGGACTAAAGATTAATGGACATTAGGATAAACATACAGATTAATGGTCTAAAAATGAGAGTCTAGAAATGAACCCATATATCTATAGCCAACTGATTTTCAACAAAGGAGCCAAGACAATTTAATGGAGAAAAATACAGTATTTTCAACAAATAATAGTGGAACATATGAATATCCCTATGCAAAAGCATGAAGTAGGGTCCCCTACCTTACACCATACATAAAAATTAACTCAAAATGGATCACAGACATAAAAATATGAGCTACAACAAAACTTTTAGAAGAAAACAGAGGAGTAAAACTTCACTGCAAAGGACACTATCAAAAAAGTGAAATCATAACTCACGGACAAGGAGAAAATACATTCCCATCAAAAATCTGGTAAGAAACTTGTATTGAAAAAATATTTTTTAAAAAGCCTCCTGTAAGTAATAATAAAAACACAAATAACCCAAGTTTTAAAATAAGCAAAGTGCTGAAACAGGTATTTCTCCAGAGAAGCCAAACAAACAGCCAACAAGCACATAAAAAGGTGTTCAACACTGGCTGGGAGTGGTGGCTCACACCTGTAATCCCAGCACTTTGGGAGGCCAAGGTGGGTGGATCACCTGAGATCAGGAGTTTGAGACCAGCTTGGCCAACATGGTGAAACCCCATCTCTACTAAAAATACAAAAATTAGCTGGGCATGGTGGCAGGTGCCTGTAATCCCAGCTACTCAGGAGGTGGTGGCAGGAGAATCCCTTGAACCTGGGAGGTAGAGCTTGGAGTGAACCGAGATGGTGCCATTGCACTCCAGCCTGGGTGACAAAAGAGAAACTCCATCTCAAAAAAAAGATATTCAAGATCTTTAGCCATTAGAGAAATGTAAATCAAAACCACAATGAAATACCATTTCATACTCACTAGGATGGCTCAAATAAAAACAAGCAATAACAAGTATTAGCAAGGATATGGAGAAACTGAAACCCTCACACATCGCTGTGAGAATGTAAAATTGTGCAGCCCCTCTGGAAAACAGTTTGGTAATTCCTTAATGACCCATATCACCCATATGACCCAGCAATTCCACTCCTTTCTACAGACCCAAGGAAATGGAAACCTATTCAAACAAAACCATACATACATGTTCACAGCAACATTATTCATTATAGCCAAAAAGCAGAAATAATCCACGTCTATCAACTAATGAACAAATAAAATGTGATATATATCTATAAGACAGATTATTATTTGGTAATAAAAAGGAAGTATTAATACATGCTACAATGTGGATAAGCCTCAAAAACACTATGCTAAGTTGAGTGAAACCAAACACAAATACCACATATTGTATAATCCTGTTTATGTGAAAGATGCAGAACAGCCAAACCTATAAAGAGAGAAAGCAGACTCATGGTGCTTAAGACAGGGGAAGTGTGGAAGGAAAGGAAATGGGGATTGTATGAGTTTTGGGAAAGTCTAATGAAAATGTTTTAAAATTAGAATATGGAAATAGCTGCATAACTGAGTAAATATACTAATAACTTAAAACTATTTAACTGGACACTTAAAGTGAACAAATTTTAGGATAATTAAACTGCTAAAGAAACCAAACAAACAGTCCAATAAGACGCATGAATTCTTACCCCAGCAGTTGTCAGGCAGGCGGTAAACTGTTTAGACAGAGAGGACAACTCTTTACACAACACAACTGTCATCCTAGGAAAGAAAGGAAAAGTCAGAAAAGTTTTTCTTTTTTTTCTTTTTTTTAAAAAAAATAAGCTATATTTAACAACTTTCAGAGTAGAACAAATCACTCCTGGTACTAAATGTGAAAGAAGAAAGCTTTTCAAGGGAGTAAATACAGTAGCCCCCTTTATGGTTCACTTTCTGCAGTTTCAGTTACCCATGGTCAACAATTATCTGAAAATAATAAATAAAAAATTCCACAAATAAATAATTCATAAGTTTTTAATTGCATAACATTTTGAGTAGTATGATGAAATCACTCACTGTCCTGCTACATCCCACCCTGGACATAAATCATCCCTTTGTCCAGCATATTCACAGTACCCACTCATTAGTCAGCTGTTAATATTAACCATCATGTTATTAGACTGACTACTGTGTTATCATAGTGTTTATGTTCAAGTAACCCTTATTTTACTTAATAATGGCCCCTGCTATGGTTCTGATATATCCCCTCCAAAACTCATGTTAAAATCTGATTCCCAATATGGCAGTGTTAGGAGGCAGAACCAAGTGGGAGGTATTTGAATCATGGGGGCACTGCCCTCATGAACAGGTTAATGCAATATGACAGTAGTCAGTGAGATCTCACTCTGGTGGGAATAAATTAGGTCCTAGAGAGCATGTTTTTATAAAGCAAGTTCAGTCTGTCAAGCAGGCCTCTTTGCACACACCCACTCGTCTTTCTGCTTCTTTACCATGTTGTGGAGCAGTACATGGCTCTCACCAGAAGTCAAACAGATGCCAGTGCTATGCTGTTGGACCTTCCAGCCACCAGAATTGTAAGCCAAATAAACCTCTTTTCTTTGTAAATTACACAACCTCAGATATTCTGTTACAGTAACACTAAATGGGCTAAGGCAGCCCCAAAGCCCAAGAGTAGTGATGCTGGCAATTCAGATATGCCAAAGAGAAGCCATAAAGGGCTTCCTTGAAGTGAAAAGGTGAAAGATCTTGACTTAGTTAGAAAAACATCATATGCTGAGC